TGTTGCTTTACATAGTACCACATAGCAGTGAACAACTTCCCGGCTGTTTTATATCAAAACCATGCATTTCCAAGTAAAAATGTTTGATGCATCCTATAGAAACCTTAACAACTTTACAGTACCAGTACAGAAGAGTGCAGTGGGATAAACAGTTGATAGAGGGGAACTGCAGGGGAGCGGGATAAACTGGATGTACATGGCTTAGCTTCAACATTCAGAAATCAATCATACTGAAACAGGAAACAGTTCAGCACAACAGAGCCCATCTTACACATGGAGTATCCTCAGTCGTATTAAGCTCAGAACCTGTCTTTACATTACAGTGAAAGAAGGTTGCAGACTTTTTAGAGGTCAGCAAATACTTAATGATGCTATCCAAAAAGACAGACAGAACATGCAGGAGACCTACTACACCTAAAACTGTTTCCTTCCGATAGAGGAAAAGAGAAAGGAACTAACAGAGAGATGTCTATGCTCTAGATAGCAGTGCAGCATTTCTACAGAAACGCTCTAATGGTGGCTGGTGTAGAGCTGCGCCTGATCCGCGAGATTATTTTCTCATTTGTCAGGAGGTCACAAACCGAGGCCAGGCAGCCCACCTGAATCCAAGCTCTAAACCAGCCAATCTGAAGGTCCAGTGAGCCACAGACTCCCAAAGTCTCTTAAAATCCCTCGGGCTCAGTGCTAAACACAGTCACATGACAGATGAAAACTGCAGCCTCAGCTCCAAACTCGGGTATCATATGCTGCTCTTCGCTTGCAGTCAACTCCTGAGAGCTCAAATGTTTGCATAAAATAATTCTGTAGGTGGTGGGCGTGGTTTGGCATATGACATCTTGAGAGTCAGAAAGTCAGTCTGCTGACATTGGCTCAACTCAACTCTGCCCTATTACCCTCTAGCTCATCCCAAAACCCTGCTCTGATTAAAATATGCTGCCGGATCATTGAGGCTGTTCTGTGACTAGTGGCACTGTGATTTCTTCAAAATACCAGGTTATTTTAGCTGAGAAATACTTCGCCTCTGGAGGTAATGACCCCAAACAACATCCAAATCAACAGAGACATTGGTACAGGGACACAAAAATCAATGTTTATCAAAGGACATCTCAGTCTCCAGACTTAAACCCCATTTGAAATTCTGTGATCTGAATCAGCTTCCACATGACCAAACAATAATAACATAAATGAGCTTAAAAGGTTCTGAATGGAGGACAGGAGTCAGAATCTCTCTCCAAGTGTCACCTTGTTATATATTACACAAAGAGTCTCAGTGCTGTTCTGTCTCGGGGAATTAATTGTGGAGACGCTGACAAGTTTAAACATAAACACTGATGGCTGGGGAAAAAAAAAAAAAAACTATACAGCATGCCTAAATGTTTAAACTCAAAATATCACTCATGCATGTGTCATTTCTGCTCCTTTTCATGAAGCGCATTAATAGTTGAAGACTTGGCCATATACTTCATTCCCAGTCACAGTCTACACAGTTACAGTGAAATGACAGTGGTGTGTTTTGTGTATGTGCTTGAGTGCTTTGAGCAGGAAGTACTGTCACTTGCCTGTGTCATCATCGTCCATTTCTCCGTTAAGCTCGGAGGAGTGTATGAGCCGAGTCTCCATCACCTCCATCTCCATAGACTCCATCTGCTTCTTCATAGTGTCATACTTGGCCTGACATGCACACACACACACACACACAAACACACCCTCTTAGATCTGCTGGTAAATATCATCTGCTCAAAAAGAAGCACTGTGTACCTCACAGGCCAACTCAGCCAAACAAATAAACACACATATGTACTGTATATATACCACCAGCAGAACAGCAGAGACAAATACAGAGCCTCCCTCCTTTCTCTCTCTCTCTCTCTCTCACACACACACATATATACATAAACAAACACACCATCTGTCTAACCCTGTGATCACACTAGCAAGCGATGTGCAACAATTCATGTCTTATGTTTGTGACACCGGCAACAGAGGCATCACAGCCGCAGGGCGATAAGCAACATTTAATTCAGAGTATTTACTCTCAGTAAAGTTTTACATTATACAGCACATTACTGCATACAATTTGCCTTTTAACTGAACAGTGGACAGTGCACACCCACAAGAGAGAACAATAGCAGTCGCTGCATTCCCACATGGGAGTCACTTGTAGCTTCCTAGTGTGAATGCAGGGTAAAGTACACATAATATTATTTACTATTAATATTACTATTATTTATTATCCCAGCGCATTTACAACACTCCAAGACAAGGAGCTGCCCTACAAATTATTCTGTCAAATCTCAACTCCACTGCAAATTAAGTGTGTGTCATAGCAGTTCTGCAGGTACCTGAAGGTCTTTCATGTCCTTCTCCAGCCGTAGTCTCTCAGAGGTCTCGGACTCGAGCAGCTGAGAGGCAGACTCGCCTGTGTTCCTTTCATCAGCTAGCTCTGATGACAGCTCTGTGATCTAAAACACACGCAGCAATGCAGGCGCTTACTATCATTCAGTGGCCCTGCCTTAAATGAACTCAGATTGGACTGAATCAGTCTGTTGCTGCACCTTAAAATCATGCCGTAGATATGTGACACGAAGCTGTTAGTGTTTTAGCTATGTCATGGGAGGTGGTCAGAGCTGGTGTGCTTTTGTGTGTGTGTGTGTGTGTGTGTGTGTGTGTGCGAGATCCCATAATTTTCTATAAATAATCTGAAACTTCTCATTCTGACCTGGGCCTGCATAATTAACCATGGTTTAATCATAATCATGGCTTCTTCAATTAAACATCAATCACAGCAATATAGCTAAGCTTAGATACTGTTTCTTGTGCATTAAATCATGAGAATTATTATTATTATTATTATCATCATTAATATAAATATATAAATAATAACAATAAAAAATATTATATATGTAATAAATTTAATAATATTTTATTATTATTGCAAAAAAGCTTTTATTAGCATCTTAGCAGTTGCTCTATTCCGGCCTTTGTTCTGAATCTGGTACAGGCAGTGAAATGTGAGTGAACTTCACCCTGCTTTCCAAACGATCAGTGTTGAGTCGCAGCTCGTTTCTCTCCTTCTCCACTTTCTCCAGCTTCAGCTTCAGCTGCTGAATCTCCTCCTGAGAAAAAAATCAGGCAAACAAAAGGAGGCAGTCAGAGTGAAAAGATACAGACAGGAAGCTCATAGTTAACACACAATCAACAATCATCATCAGAGACACTCAACTGATGGACAGTTTAAAAGAAAGGACAGTCAGTCAGAGACAGACAATCCATTTAGAAGCATATATAAAGAAACCCCTCTCTGCCCTCTTTCCTTCGGCCTCTTCTTCTCTCACTCGAATGCTGAAGGTGATCAGGTGTGGCTCTGTGCACCGTCTGGGTAAAAGAGTTAGCAGCACCATTTCTGTTTTTGTTAAACCAGGCTGCTCTGAGCTAGAGTCAGCACTCGGATCTCTCTCTCTCTCTCTGAGCGGCACGCCTCACTACCTGAGCACAACATTCAGCAAGACGCAGCCAAGTGGACGTGCCACGCATAAACACGCATACACCTGCTGACTTGTAGGCTCACTGCAGTGTCCCACAAGAAAAGGAGTTGCATTTGATCCAAGCAACACCTCTGTGCCACTACACAGCCCAAAAGAGCCAGCAGGCTGAAAGTACACAGGTAATGTATTCACACACATTCTTCTACAAACAGTCTCACCGAGCCAAAAATGCACAGGCAGGAATCAAAGGGGCCGAGTGCTTTGGCTGAGACTAAATGAATTCTGAGAGGCTGGAATTCAGGAGGGACTACGACAGGGAAGAGCAACTAAGAGGAGCCATCCACATGTGCAGCTCTGCCACTGTCAAATGCCAAAACCTAGACATGGCACAACAATTTAGTGCTTTTGAAGTGTCTGGAGAGGACTCCATTCAGAAGGTGGATCCTGAGAGATGGGGGGCATACATAAGCACAGAGAGAAAAATAGACACAAAACAGAGGGAACAGATACAAATTCTATCTGTGTAAATGTGTATGAAGCATTTCCCATCTCTCATTTGGGGCAATTTAAACAGATAGATAGCACCAATCATTTCAAATGGTGGAAAACAATGAAGAAAAATATATTAAAATGGTTCCAAAATGTAAAATAGCTAACAAATAAAAACTGAACACAATAAATGATCTAATTTCATCTACAGACTATTTAGCATTTGATATGGAGCTACTGCATAGGCTGTAAGAAGGTAATTTCACCATTGTGCATAATCTTTGATAATTAGTGCTTTGCTGAAGGGCCTGATTTTTCATGTATCTTTGGAAATGACAAAAGTTTCACTAGTCATCACAGTTTAGTGAGGAATGACCCTCAATGACTAGCGCACGATAGGTCCACACTTTGTCTGCATCATCATACAGGTTTTACTGTTCCATTTGGGACAGGGCTTTACTGAGAGTGGTACTTATAGAAAGCATGAGAGGAAGAGATCACAAGACAGAGAGAACCTGCACTGGGTTGGGGGCTGGATAAATAAGCAGTCACATACGTCTTTGCCACGAATCTGCTCCTCGCTGAGCTGCACTTGGATAAGAGGCCGCACGGTGGTGAAGAGCTTCCACCAGGGCCAGTCCTTCACGCCACGGTTCTTTTTGATGTTCTTCTGGATGCAGCGGATGGCCAGGTCTTGGATCTGCAAGACAGCAGCACATGGGTTCGAGCACTGACTTCGAACTGATTCGAACACTGAACATCCAACTGATATAACCTTACAGTAGCAGTAGCAGGTAGAACACCATAATAAACAAGACACTCAAATTTTTTTAAATGCTGCTCCTATTTTGTTATTTTATTTTTTAAAAAAAATTGTAAAAAGAAGCACATGTGGAACTCTCAAATCTTCTTCTTCCCTGCAGGGAGCAGTTGGGGGAACGGTGCCTTGCTCAAGGGACTCACCTCAGTCATGGTATTGAGGGTGGAAGAGAGCGCTGGTCATTCACCCGCCCCACCTACAATCCCTGCTGGCCCGGGACTCGAACCCACGACCTTCAGGTTCACCTTTAGGTTGCAAGGCCGACTCTCTAACCATTAGGCTACGACTGCCCCAATATGACATGGTGTGCCAAGATTGGCGTGGAAGCCCTGATCTCCACCCCACTGCACACCTTTGGGGTGAACAGGAACGCTGACCGAGCTCTAGGTTTCCTTGCCTGACATCAACGTCTGACCTCACTAACGTTCTTATGGCTGAATGAGCACAAATCCCCTCGGCCTCGCTCCAAAATCTAGTGGAAAGCCTTCTCAGAAGAGTGGAGATTATTATAACAGTAAAGGGGGGCTAGATCTGGAATGGGATGTTCAAAGGGCATATGGGTGTAATGGTCAGGTGTCCACATACCTTTGGCCATATAGCGCTTATTAGAATGGAATTTTTCTAGAGTAATCCAGACACCTGTTAAGCACTGCAACACTTGCATTGAGCGAAATGAAGATTATGTAGAAAAATGATACACTTTTGTGATACCTGTTTGCATTAAACAATGTAAAAGAAAAGAATTAAGGTTTTCATTAGACTCACTCTCACATAGAACATACAGAGAAAATGAACTGCCTAAAAAACTAACAGTGTGAACTGATTTATATAGACGTTTTTCTCGAACAATACAAAACACAACTTTTCTATAAAGTGTTTTAATTTAGTTGTTCTCTTCTTCATTTTGATGTGTCATTATATAGAGTTCTGGCTAGGAATGAGGAAAGAGCAGCAGCTCTTTAAAGCTACAGTGCAGCAGGAACAGGAAGATAACAGCCGAGTGGAGGAAGGTTCAAATCTCTGGGCTCGGGACCTGTGGAAATTCCATGCTACAGAAAAGCCTCTCTCCTTGCTGAGTGTTCCTCATCGCTGGACTATGAAGCAGATCCAAAGCCCTTGTGTATAATTAAATTGCACATCAATGCCGCGCGGCAGCTAATTTAAACTGCAGTAAGGTTTCCTGGCTGCTGAAACATGCGTATCTTCAATGAGAGCAGATTATATGGAAATCCAATTAGAGTGGCAAAATTCAGCCCATGGTTGTGAAAGCTGGTAATGGCCTTCAGGTAATCTGCCACACAGCAAGAGGCTTAACACGCAACAAAATTGTATCTGTTCCCTCTCAAACAGCCCTGCACACATGGGCCTGAGCTCGTCTGAACTCTAACGTGAAGCAGCAGGTGGCTTTTATGTGCATACACATTCCTGACAAGCAGAATCACATTTTTGTAACAGACACTATGAATTCGATGCGTTTCTGTCAGCAAATAAACTGTCTATCTGAATGCAAGGATCCGGATATGGGAATAAATTGACTTTCATTAGTTTCTGTTCTTTCAAGTTCTGCTCGACAATATTTCTTCCTGTATGAAACAAGGCGATAAAAAGGAGGCTCCAAAAAGGCCACACCGATGAGTGAAGTAATGTGGAGATAATTTACAGATTTACAGTTAACTATCCTAAATTCTAAACAGGATTTGAAATGATTTATTCAATGAATGCATTTTCTCATTTCTTTTCTTCCAATGATGAACGTTTTTCATCATTCCCATTTAGATTTTTCAATCAGCACACAAAAGTTACATGACTCTCAGCTAAAATTTCACTGTAATGATAGGTCTATCAGAGCTATTATCGCTCCACCACTGAAAGAGAGGGAGACCATGTTCTTTTGGAACCATCTCTAATTCAAGAGCCGCAAAACCAGGCCTCAGAGCTCTCAATCCTGAGCTCTCAAACAGGAAAGAGTACAAGAAAATTAAATGGAATTTGTGGCAATTTTCTGTTTTTTTTTTTTCTTTTTTTCCTCAGAGGTGAAGTAAGACTACTTCCATTTAATGGTCTCATACAGAGTTAATGGAAAAACTAACTCTTCCAGTTCTTGTGCAGTGTTCCTCATCCTGCCTACATCCAAATGCACACTGTTTAATTAGCTGAAGATTGCAAATAAACCTCACACTACAGCCTGGCTTTTCACACACTTCCTTTTCTGAAAAAGCCTTGTGAAGCGAATCTGTTCTATCAGTAGGTTTTGGGGG